CCAATGCTGCTTGGCCTGCTGTGTTCATCCAGCTCTACACCTTGTTAGCCCAATAATTCAGAATTGTTTTGACTCCAACCTCTAGTGCACCTTTCCCTCCCTCCCATTGTCCATGTTTTAGCTGTTCAGCCACACAGTGTGGAATTCTCTCCATAAGCTTCTTCATCTGTCTACCAGCATCTTCTCCTTTAAAAACTCCTCAGAACCAAACACTTTAACTGAGCTTTGTGATCATATCAAAAATCCTTATCTTTGGCTATCTCTTTAAAATCTTTTCTATGTCTTTGTGAAGTGACTTTTTTTTTTAAAGATGCAAAAGGCATAATATTAATACAAGTTGTTGTTGGACAGCTTAGGACCACAAGAGGGGAATGCGGTGCATTGGTGCTTCGTCTGTTCCAAATAAAGCCTCCATGTCACTTACTCCAATTACCAACTGTCTGTCAGACATCTTGCTCTTGTTTGACAAACCACAACTTAAAACTTAAAACACAATTTTTTTAGTATTGGTTCAAAAGCTTTACCAGCTTTCACAAAATGGAGATTCCTTGTCCTGCCAGCAGCAGGGCATTAAGCATGGGGTTACATGTGGAACGGATTGGAGACAGGAGTATGATTGGTATGTGCATGGTTCTACCATCAGTGACCTCTCAGAATGGAATTTTTGGAGTGTTTGAATTGGTGGCAACAGCAACACAGCTAGCTCTTTCTGCTTAGCTCGTGGTTTGAGAATAAATCTAGACTGGAGAAATTGATGTCTTAACCAGGCATCCCTATGGATCGTTACAAGGATTGTATTGTGATTTATACTGCTGTTACACACAGATTCAAAATTTCGTATTCAATTGTGTTACAAAATTCTAACATATTTCTTTGCATTGTACAACTAAATGAAAACCCGTAATCATGTAGCAAATACAATCCAGGTAATATTTTATATCAGATCATGTCATTTGATCATCCGACCTGCTGTGTATCCTAACTTGCCAGTGACAACACAAAATACTACATTAAAGTAAGCAACAGCATTTCAGAAGAAAAGGTTTGAAGTGTAGTATGTTTAACATTTGGTCTCAGAATTTGGATGATTTTGGCATGGACAGACCTTGTTGCCATGACTGGATGCACCATCATCTGTTCTACCATATAAATAGCTCCTGCCTTCCATATGTCACTGGTCATTCCCTTTTATTCTTTTCTCCTCTTCTCACTTTCCCCGCTTCTGTACTCTTAACACCTGTTAAGTCCGCAATGCTTTTTAGTTCTGGTGATGGGTCATGAAACCGAAACGTTAACTCCTTTTCCCTCTCTAGAAGCTGCCTGACCTGCCAACTATTTCCAGTACTTTCTGGTTATATTTTTAATTTCCAGTAGCCACAAAATTTTGTCCTTGGCAATGTATACCAGTTAGGATGCATTTCTTAGACAAGAGCATATAGGTAACGATGTTCCCATAAAATGCTACTTTTTCTCCCCCTTCTTTCCCTCCAGGTTATGACAAAAGTAGGCTTTGACTTGCTGCAGTGAATCTTATGTTGCTTATCTGACAGTTATCCTGTCCTGGTAGTTCAGGGGACATATATTGAGGTTACTGACAAGTAAACAAATCACCGCTACTCCAGCTGAAGCTTTAAGTACAACACTGTAAGAGTGGCTACCTGGCTATTATTGTATACAAGAACAATGCACTTAGAAATTACATAGTTGCAATAACGCGCAGAAATGTAAACATTGCAAGGTTAGAAGAGGAGTGATAAATGTTTGGTTATAAAGGTGTTTTAGACACATATAAGAAAGGCAGGATTGGATGCTGAATATTCCTAGATATTGCATGTTAAGGACAGATAGTAAAGGAAAAAAGGGAGAAAGAGTATTAGTATTAAGGACAGCATGTAATGCTACAGAAAGAGAATGTCCAAGAGGAATCAAGGATGTAATCTATTTTGTTAGAGCTAAAGAACAAAAAAAAGGTGTAATTGCCTTACTCAGTTACAGAGGTATCAAATTGGAGTCAAAGATTGAAAGTAAAACAGTAACTCAAAAATTGACTACATTGAAAGAAGAGTTATAGCTGAGGAGCACAGGGACAGGGGTAGGCGATCCAGACCAAAAAGATTGCTCGATCATTTAAATAGATCATGGTTGATCAAACACTTCAATGCCTTTTACCTGCACAATCCCCAAAACTCTTTACAACATTGACAATCAAAACTTTATCAACCTCCACTTGAAACATACTAAATGACTGAGCTTCCACAGCCCAATGGGATACAGAACACAAAAGATTCAAGATCCACTGAGAAAAGTAATTCTCATTTTAGCACTAAATGGCATCACTAATTTTTAAATTGTGCCCACCCCCCCAATCTGGTGTCCCTAACCAGGAAAAATGTCTTCGCTGCAGCTACCTTGTCTATCCCTTTAAGTATTTTGTACATTTCAATGAGATGATCACTCATTCCTCAAAACTCTATAGAGAATACTGACCCAGTTTACCCAATCTCTCTTTATTGGGCAGTTCCACCTTCCCAGAAGCAAGTCTAGTGAACCTTTGTTGCACTCATTTCACGGCAGCAATATCCTTCCTGAGGTAAGGAGACCAAAACTGCACACAGCACTCAAGGTGCAATCTAACTACGCTCAAATACAATAGAAGAAAGATTTTACTACTCCTGTACTTAATTCTCCTTCAATAAAGGTGAACATTGCATTAGTCTTCTTAAAAGCTTGTTGCACCTACATGTCAGCATTCAGTAATATGTTGACAAAGCACCCAGGTCCTTCTCTACATCTCAACTTTTTACCATTCAAGAAATAGTCTGCACTACTGTTACGCTTACCAAAGTAGATAACTTCACATTTTTCCACATTATATTCCATCTCCAAGGTCTTGCCTTCTCACTCAGCCATCCAAATCCTCCTAAAGTGATCTTATATCTTCTACACAACACAAATTCGTTCCTAGCTTTGGTTTATCCATAAACTTGGAAATATTACATTTGATCTCCACACCCAAATTATTGATATATATTGTCAACAGCTAGGGCCCAAGTTCTAATCTTTCTGGTGCCCTACTAGTCACAGTCTGCCAATGCAAAAATAACCCAGTTATTCCTACCTTGTTTTCTGCCTGATAGCCAATTAAATCCATGCCTGCACATTACGTTTTATGTAACGTGTTTTAACTTTGCTAACCAACCTGTTGTGAGGGACCTTATTAAAACTGTTCCATAAATCCAAGCATATTACCCTTTATCAACTTTGTTCATAAGATCCTAAAGAAACTCCAAAATTGTCAAACATGATTTCTCATCTACAAATCCATGTTGACTATACTACACAGCTCTGGAGCAGGTGGGACTTACAAAGATGGGTGTGTTAACAGTGTCATGGCTTTGGAGTGGGGGGAAGTCAAGTGATGAAAACACTAAAAAATGCCCTTAACCACAGCTGACAACCCTATTTCAACCTTATTTTGGAGTTTGCAATGATCAGACAGCCAGAGAAGATTTTAAGATGAATTTGAACATCTTAAATTCGGTGCATTTTGTGATGATGGAAGGCAGGGAGCAAGAGTGGGGGCAAACACAGCAAGATCTAAACTCTGAGATAGTAGGAACTGCAGATGCTGGAGAATCCGAGACAACAAGGTG